TTCAAAAGGCTGCAGAACAGCATGAAGTCTGTTTTCCCTTCAATTGTGTTTCTTAGTGGCTTATTTAAGAAATAGCAGAGGATGCAGAAAAGTTGGAAGGAACAGTGGGAAAACCCAGGAAGCCAAAGAATGGAAGCTGTTATCTGGACCCCTCGTAAAAACTGGTGGAGAATTCAGGAAAGTAGTGTTATAAAAATCTTGTCTGAAGAACCTTCTGGCAGACAGCAAGTAATTTCTTAAATAATAGCATCTTAAATATTTTAATTTAAAAATAATTTTAAATATTTTTCATTTTGACTATAAAATGAAACAAAATAGAGTGGCAGGGTGCCTAGGAGGCATGAAGAGATTCTTTGGGGCATACCGATGCCAAAGATACCCACAGTGGAAGCCCTGGCACTAAAAGAACACAGGCAAGAGTGAGCGATAGCAGACTGACTGCCAACAAACTGAATTTTATGGAACATTGATTCTTAAAATAGCACATCCTGCCTCTGTTCAGATGATTTTTGAAAGCCAAATGTTGATTTAAATAATTGCAAAAAAAAAAAATGTTCAGGCTGAGAAGAGCTAACCACAATGCACTTGCTTTTCTGGCGGTGGAGCAAAAGCAAATACAGGGGCTGCCCGTGGAAACCAAATGTGAGGCACTGCAGTGTAGTCTTACCAGTGATGCTCATAACAGATGTGGTTGCTGTCCGGGGCTTGCAAAGGACTGAGAAGCTTTAATAACTCTCAAACTGCTGCTCAGGACTTCACCAAACCAATGCAAGATTGTATTTCGCAGCAGTTGTGTTCACCGACGTTTGGCAAAAATATACGATAGGTAGAAAGTGTAAATGAGTAACATTTCTGCACTTCACATTTTTAGCACTTTCAGTACCTGTGTCAGTTCTTGGATCATTTTGAAATTTGGCATTAGTTCATGGCTGCCGAGCATGAAATGATTGATTTACCAGCTGTGACTTTTATATGTAATAGAAACTTGAAGCACATAATGGCAGACTTTCTTTTCAACTCCCCTTATGTAAAGCACTGCTATTGTGTTCCTTAATAGTAATTTAGGCATCATGCCGTGAACCCAGCTTGTCATGGTAATTTTTATAACACAAGGCAGCTTAATATAAATGTGGTATGTCCATTCTCAATAAACTTTGAATAGGAATAGAGTTTATTTGAGCCTTTAAAAATGGCCCAGGTCCAGAAGGTATATGGGTATATGAATTCACACATACAATAAAGATATTAATAGCCAGATATTTTTTGGATCTAGTGAGAAAAGAAAATGATTATCAGGAAGGAAGGAAGCATTCTGCTTTTGAAAAACTGCAGAATGCAAACCATTAATGCAATAGAGCCAAATGAGAGTAATTGTAGACTGCAAAACAGAACTTTTAAGCCACACTTCTTAATAATTGTATATTCTTCCTATGTTCTGACAACTCTTAGGAACCAAAAACTGACTCAAATAATGAGAATTTAAGGGCAAGTGCATTCCAGTTCATTTATAGACTCAGCAGGTCTGAATTTGATAACTGCTTACAAAAACTCAGACCTGATTAATATCTCCACATTAGGTCTCAATTTCTTTTCTGTCACCTTATGCTGAGCAGCCCCAGATTGGCTGGGCATTGTCCCTGTTACACTTCAAGGAATGAATTCTGTTTGCGCAATGGGGATGAAGAAGAGCACAAGTTATATAGATATGGGCATGCATATTGTGCCCATTGCGCAGGCAAAAAACAAAGGGCAGGCAGCTGCTGCACTGGGCATTTGGAAGGGGCAACTTGTTCCTGCCTTTTCGGGGCATTCTGAGAGCTGGCTCTCAGACAGTTTCTGAGATCTTGGGGTAGGAGGGGAACCGAAGAGACCACTTTTGCAAGCCGGAATTGGCTTGCATCCATTGCTGCCAGGGAGACCCATTGCTCCTGCAGGGCCCTGAGTGATCCTGTAGGGAGGGAGGGAGGGGAAGGCACAGGGGAGGGTGCAAAGCACCAGGATGAGCCTGCTCCTCTGTTGGGCTGACCACCAGTGCTTTGCAGGTTCAACCAACCAGTTATGGTAACTCACCCGGATGGATTATGACTCCATGTGAACTGACCCAATAAGTAACAGATGTTGCGACTGTTGCGTCTTCCCGGAGATCTCCCAAGGCTTCTAGTCAGGAATAAACTTTCTGGGGTGACGCAAGTGAAGCATGCAATGCGTAATGTGCATCATTTTCCATTACTTGGGTCTGAAAATGGACAGGCATTGATCCTCTTGTTTATTTTGTGTTTATTTATGGATTTGCTATCTTTATATCCCTCCTTTCCTTGGAGAAATCCCAAAATGGCACATGTATTCCTCCCATCTGTGTATTATCCTCACAGCAACTGCCATATAAGGAAGGTTAATCTGCACCAAGCTGTTCAGTGAGCTTCATGGCCTAGAGGAGGAGACTTGAACCTGGGTCTCACCAGTTCCAGCTCACCACCCAAACCAGAATACCATGCTGGAATCTTATACCTTCTCAAAACACAAACCAACAGTGTCATGTATTGAGGCTCCCTTTTGGGGAAAGTGTTCCTGAGGTCTGAATGGAAGGAAATTCCCAGAAGAACTGCAAATTCACCAAAAGTAAAGATGCTGAAGATGCAATGCTGATTTTGAGATTGCACAGTGGACTACAGAACATGCACCTAATTAACTGAATTCAAAGAAAACATTGGACAAAAGAACTATCAAGAAAATAAAATAATCCCCAAGCAAAGAGGCAAAGGTTATATAATTCAGGAATATTGTCACAGGTTCAGACTTCTGGTTGATAGCTGATGGTTTTCCAGATCAAGTATTGGGAAAAGGGTGTATAAGCTACACCAGCAAGTCCCTGAATGAGACACAAGCAACAGAGAGAAGCAACTTGTCATAGGATGTGACCCAGCCTAGATAAGTGTTCAAGCTTACATTGCTTACACACACACACATTTCACTAAGAGGCCTCAAACACTGGCAAATAGAGAAATCTTGCCGAGAGAAATCCACTCCTGCCCAAAGAGAGCCACACCTGGAACAGAGCAAAAGGGACCAGTTGGAAAGGAAACTGTCCAGAAAGAAAGGCAAAAGAAAGCTGCAAGCTCTTCCGAAGGCAGGCACTTGTCCAAGTTGAGGCACCTTGGTTGTTTCCAGACAGGGTTGGACACTGAAAAACCATCCAGCTCTGTGACTGGAATCCTGTCTTCTGATATTATTTACAAAAAAGAAACGTCATCACCATCACCGTGAGTCTGAACACTGGGAACAGGGAGGAAATAAGTAATATACATATACCTGCCTGTATATTTCTGCTTAAAACTTGCGTAACTACTCACTTTTACTGGCAATGGTGGCGTTTGCTGGAAACGAAGGACCTGATGTCTCCTCCTCCTTTCTGACAAAGGAGGGTGATTGGACAGGAGGGTTCTCTCAAGTATCCGTGCAAGCAAACCAGAGGAGAAGCTGCACTATCTTGACTAGGGTCTGCTTCTCATAGTTGATGCTTTATCGTGGACGCCTGCACTGAGCAGGAGGTTGGACCCCATCGTCTTTACTGTGCTATGATTCAGAGCATTCATGTTTTGCTTTATTTTGCCCCCTTGGGGCATGTATTTTAGGAAATTCCATTAGAAATGGAATTGTTTGATTTTGGAACTGTTCACATGTAATCACAGGTGAAAACTTTTTAATTTTCCCATTATTTTAATGTTTAACTGGTTGTAAGGAGGGTTTTATTTACTGGAAGTTGGATGCTGTGCTCTATTTTATTTTGTGTTGCTTTTATTGTAAAACCATCCCAAGATGCTTGTAGTGGACAGTATATAAAAGCTTTAAATACATACATACATGCATACATACATTACAGCCCATGGGATGACCAGGAGAAAATGGACTCCACCATTTCCTTAGCAATCCATATTCAGCTGCTTAATATGTGGCTGAAGGGGATGATCAAACCTAGACTGCTGGATTGTTTGGGGGCTAAACAGCCCAGCAGATAACCCATGCAGGCAACAGATTCTCTCCTTCTCCCTTGCGTGGGTGGTTCAACCTGTGGACCATCATTGTCTGAGAACCAACTCCTAGTCAACCCATTGTAACCCATTCCTGGCGTCTTCTTGCCTCACTGATGCTGTGGATGAAGATGCCCGGCTTGTTGCCCTTGGCTCAAATTAGAGTCTGCACAAGCAAGCCACCTCACTGCAAGCCAGTTCACTGCCTGCTCCTGTGGCCAGCCAAGGCTTGGGAGCTGCACACAGCTCTTTGAGTTTGTTTTATGGCTCACTGCTGCAGGCGCCCAAGGGTGCCCACTTGCCACTGCTGCCTGCAGGCGTCTGCTTGCAGCTCACAAACATCTGATATTTACCGTATGTGGCTCTTCCATTGAGCAAGTCTAGCCACCCCTGCTGTATGGCCTTGAATGGAAGGAACTTCCCAGAAAGCTAGTGTAAATTTACCTAAAGAAAGGAGGCTGAAGATAAGTGTGTGGATGGGTGAAGCTGAAATTTGGATTGCACAGCTGACTGCAGAACACAACCAACAGGATTCACTTAAGTGAGTTTAAGAAAAGCATTAGTCAGAAGAACTCCAAGAAAATGAAGTAATCCTCAAGCTGAAGACAACGGTCAGATGAGGCTTCTGGTTGAAAGGCGGTGTTTTTCCATGTCATAGAAAGAGTTGGGAAAAAGCTATATAAAGTTTGCCGAAGTCAGCAAAGCTCTGAGGACAACAAGCACACTAAAGAGGAGTGGCCATTACCACGCCTCCTGCTGCAAAACGCGCAACCCGGTTTAGCTGCCCGGTTCTGCCTCTCCAACATTGGTAAGAGAAAGTGACAAGTGTGAATGGCGTGAAGTGAACTGCATTTTGTTTAAAGTGAGGTGCACAGAACTTTTTAATTTAGATTTTAAGTCTCCATTTGTATTTCACTCTAGGATCTCAGAAACTTTTAACCATAAAATGCATGCTTTATTTCCTTCCTTCAGTTATTTTAGAACCTGCCTCTGTGAAGTGACTGGTTCTCACAGAGAATTCTGAAAGAATGTGGATTATCCAAATTCCCTGCTGTCTGTTGGCAATACTAGATCTATATTTCCTGAACCACTTGACCCACAGTCAAGAAACAGGTTGGTATGATCTGTCTGTCCGTCCATCTGTCTGCTGGTATACTTTCTGTGCATGGCTCCACCCCTATGTATTTTATGCATACACTGAAATATATCACTTAATGCACGTGTTATACATTCAGTATTTACCTTAGAGCATGAAATACAGACATGACTTTTATGAAGTGGTAAGTGGCCTTTAGAATTTGGAGAGGGTTAGAAATTTAATAAAGCTTGCATTAATAATCTGTTTTTGCTGTTGCTAGGGCTGCATATATTTGGCAAGCGCAAGCTAAAGGAATAGCACAATAACAACAATTCCAAGCCTACAGATATTATAAGAAAAGAAATGTTAGGAGTCAGGTATCTTTTGTTGGGCAAGGGGGCAGGAACAGCCAGAAGGAGGGGTGTGGAAGATTTGAATTCAGTTTTAGATAGACCAGAGCTTGTTGCATTTATCTCAACCTAGACAATCTGTTGTTAATCTTACCTATGAGTAATTGGAGACAAGTCAATATCAAACCACAGTTCATAAAGCTGGCTTGCTTCAACAAACCATTGCTAAGGTAAACCACAGTTTCCAGTTGCATGTGGTTAATCTGAAGTGGGAGTTCCTGATCCCCTTGTGATTGAATTGGAGGGGGAGGAAGGGAGCATTGTTTCGGGACCCTAAGAAGCCTTCCTAGGTCAGACCAAACATGGTAAATATACTGCCTCTGAGCATGGAGGTATCATCTATCTATCTACCTACCTATCTACCTATTTATTTTTCGATTTATATCCTGCCTTTTTCCTACAAAGGGCTCAAGGCAGCTTACATCATTCTCCTCCTCCATCTTATCCCCACAACAACAACCCTGTGAGGTAGGTTGGGCTGAAAGTCTGTGACTGGCCCAAAGTCACCCAGCTGGATCCATGGCTGAGTGGGGACTAGAACCCAAATCCTCTGAGTCCCGGCCCCATGCTCCTAACCACTACACCACACTGGCGCTTTGTTATTTGAGAACAAAGCCAACAGAAGTATCACTTTAAAGATGAAATGGTGCACACCAGATGGAAGCGAAGTCCCCCTTTCCTCCTGAAGATCCACGGCTTCAAGGTTGGGTTTAACTTTCAAAACCCAAATCAAACAAGTATGTTTTCCATCATCATCAAAGCATGTGTTTGTCAGTGCCTAGCTGGAGAATGCCTCTACTACTTTTCACATAAGCTAACTTCGGTGCAGCTCTTTTTACTGGGTGATAAGCAAAGTAACCAAAGAGCAGCTAGTGCATCCAGACTTGTGAATAAATATTTTAAAAATTTGACTGGAGGGGAGTTTAAATAGTGCTTTGCACCTCTTGATATCTAATTGCTCTGAAATTGCTACTACTTCTCTTCTCTTCTCTTCTCTTCTCTTCTCTTCTCTTCTCCCGGTTCCCTGACCAGCACTGCTTAGTCCCACTCCACAGATTCATCGATTGACTCCCAACTTCATCTCTGACATGCTGGAAGTGGAGTGGTATGACGGTGGCTCAGTCTTCCTGGAGGAAATGGACGCCACCTGGCAAATCCAGATCCTACGGAAAGAGCTCACGGAGGAAGTGGCCCTAGTAAGCTGTCCCTGTTTACCTTTCTGTACCAGTGTGTGTGTGCATTCAATTCATCCCAAGCTTTAGAAGCAACAGCTTTTTTCTTCTAAAGCAATGCATCACTATTTATTGCTTGGATG